TTGTCAATTTTGAATAATGAGGTAGCATAAAAGTTTTTGGAACATATATGACTCTTGTCATACGTGTGTTTCCTTTTTACCCATAAATACCGTGTCATAACTCATTAGGGAGCTTTCACATAACAGCTTGAGTGGATCCATTCCATCCACCATTGGAAACTTGATTGGCTTAAAATATCTATAAGTAGACTTTATTGGTAAAGTATTCACTCCAGTGACTCCGTCTCCAGTTTACAGATTCCCACTCGTCACTTTTGAAAATGTCAGCCGCATGGATGTTTTTAACAATCATATCTGTCACTCCCGTGCCATCTCTATGTTTTCGGTTCACCCATGATATCCATTCCTCTTCCCCATCTATGAATTCCTCATACCACGTCAGGTTTCTTCTATCCAACAAACTCACTGGATCCATTCCTTCAACCATTGGCAACCTACAACTCTTGGCTAATTTGTCAGTATCAGATGCCTCCCTTGTTTTTTGAGACACTCAAAACACTGCTTCATACACGTATCAGATGCCTCCCTCATTTCAGCAGAGCAATCATTCATGCAGATGGTTTCCTTCGATGGCCAAGTCTGCTGGTCACTGTAGTCTGTGATTATCCGTTTTTGGCATGCTCAAGTTCCTTTGTAGACAGTTTTCCTTATTCAGATTTCTTTATCTCCAACCTGAATTTATAGTTCTAATTCCAGTTGTTTATGTGCTATATTCTGCCCCTTTCTGCAACACAGCTCTAAACTCATTTCTTCCAGACTGCCCGTAACAGCATTCAGCCTTGTATGTCTGTCTCTGCCTCCTCTGCTTCCCTTACTACACACCTCCATCTCCCTATATCTGCCTCCATCTTCCACATTTGCTGTTTTGTCTCCCTCTTTGTCTCTCTCTATCCATGTAATCCACCATGTGTCACACTAGGAATGTAGGAGCGAATGCCTTTAGTGGATATGTTCCCCCAAGTATTGGCAACTTGAGCAGACTGGAATATCTGTGAGTATCCCCAACCGCACCAGTTTCTGTTCATGATTGGGCACTCTCTATAGTCCTGTGAACACCTGTATCGAGACATGTGGTGATAGCTCCATTCTATGAGAATGTTAGGTCCCAACCGCTTTCGTGTGATTTTGTGCTCGTGTGAATTTTTTTCCACTCATGTGAAACCTGCACGTTTTGAACTGAATGTGCAGCGATATATTTGAAAATGCGTTGACGTGTCCACCTAACTACGACGCCTGTGTGGTCCAACAAAACACCTCAAGCACTTTCTGTCGGACATGCTCCTCCTTCTGCAACAATTGTGACAAGCAAGCACTTGGTGAGCATAGCATATATGCCAATAATACATCAAACACGCCTTTAGATTGACTAAATTGGATGCACCGCGTTCACGCCATTAGGTGCCATGTGATTGATGTTTTTTCAAGCTGAGTCATATCCCCTTCCTTCGCACCTGTCCGTCTGCTAGCCTGTAGTTGTGTCAACCGATTGTACCGTTCATTGCATTCACCCACACTCACGTGCAATCAAGAATCGTAGTGTTTATGCACTTCTAAATCTCTCAATTTCCTTCAATTTGGGAACTTATCCTGTACGCTTTAATCTCCTTTCATGCCTTCACCACCCCTCCAAGGGTCACCACCATCGTTCCCATTATTGCTTCCTACTGGTGAACTGTCACCAGGAGCCATTGCTGCCGTTGCTGTGGCTGCTTTGGTTGCTCTCGTCTTGGAACTTATCCTGTCTCCTTCAATCTCCATTCACCCCTTCACCCCCCCCCCCCCCCTCCCAGAATCACCATCATTCCCAGAATCACCATCTTCCCCGGAATCACCATCTCCCCCAGAATCGCCTTCTGGTGGGCTGTCAGCAGGAGCTATTGCTGGCATTGCTGCGGCTACCGTGGTTGTGGTCGTGCTGCTTCTGGCTGGTATACTGCTACTTAGCAGAGATGGCAATAAGGGAGCAGCCCTTCGAGGAGCATTGGCAACAAACAAGGAGAGCAGCAAATCTGTGCCAATTAAGCATTTCCAAGGCAAGCCATTGCTGTCCATGCTTGTATCACTCCTAAGAAATTTCAAAAGTGAGGCATGCATAAACAAGGATGGTGATGATGTTGTGCTAACTACGGGATTCCATGGCAAGTCGTTGCTGGCTCTTTCTCTATCTTCCTCTTGTCCGTTCTTGCTCTCCTTCAGCCACTCAAAAGATAGTGTCCCACCTCACTTAAATTCACCCACTTTTTCATTGTTCCTCAAGTTCCATTTCACTTGGGTTCGACTCGAATCAACCCAGATGCTCATGTGAGCACGCCCTCTGTCGTCACAACATTCATCCCATGTGAGCCCACAGAAGGAAACGGCAGGAAAGAAGATCCAGAGAAAGCAGCAGCAGCATTAGCGGCAGCCGCTGCGGCAGTTGCTGCAGCAGCAGCAGCAGCAGCAGCAGCAATGGGTTGCCAGGATCAAGACGTGGCGGTGGAGATGGGATTAGAAATTCAGCAGGATGCAGCATGGCCGCATGTATGCCAGGAGTACTCCCTTGAAGAGGAGGCCGCAGCAGCGGCGGCAGCGGTAGCGGCAGCACCAGCAGCAGCACCATCACAAGCAACATTGGGGGTCCAGGATAAATACGTAGCAGTGGAGATGGGATTGGAAATCGACAAGGATGCAGCACAGCCGCATGTGTGCCATGAGTAGTCCCTAGAAGAACTTGAAAAGGCAACGGCGGAGTGGGCAGAGGAGAACCGGATCGGCAGCGGCAGCTTTGGCGATGTGTACAAGGGTGTTTTGCCGCATAGCTGTTCTCAAGTGTGGGCGGTGAAGCGAGCGAGAGTACTCACCAACGATTTCCAGACCGAGGTGAGAGCTTCAATCAACAGCATGGCGGATTCACCACCACCATGAGCGAGTTATGAGATTAACACTATGCCGATGTGTACAAGGGAGTGTCTACTCAGTGTTTCTCTCAAGTGTGGGCCATCAATCGAGCGCGAGTACTCACCAGCAAGGGAGTGCCAACGACTTCCAGACTGAGGTATGACTTTTGACTTGACTCAAAAGTCAGCAAGTTTGGGCCGTCAATCGAGCGCGAGTACTCACCAACAAGGGAGTGCCAACGACTTCCAGACTGAGGTATGACTTTTGACTTGACTCAAAAGTCAGCAAGTTTGGGCCGTCAATCGAGCGCGAGTACTCACCAACAAGGGAGTGCCAACGACTTCCAGACTGAGGTATGACTTTTGACTTGACTCAAAAGTCAGCAAGTTTGGGCCGTCAATCGAGCGCGAGTACTCACCAACAAGGGAGTGCCAACGACTTCCAGACTGAGGTATGACTTTTGACTTGACTCAAAAGTCAGCAAGTTTGGGCCGTCAATCGAGCGCGAGTACTCACCAACAAGGGAGTGCCAACGACTTCCAGACTGAGGTATGACTTTTGACTTGACTCAAAATTCAGCAAGTTTGGGCCGTCAATCGAGCACGAGTACTCACCAACAAGGGAGTGCCAACGACTTCCAGACTGAGGTATGACTTTTGACTTGACTCAAAAGTCAGCAAGTTTGGGCCGTCAATCCAACGCGAGTACTCACCAACAAGGGAGTGCCAACGACTTCCAGATTGAGGTAAGAGCAAGACACCTCACCAAACATTCTCAACGAGACTCATGACGTTTTGCTCATCGGCGCCATGAGTGTATCTCCAGTCATTCTCTATTCAAGCCTTGTTGTTCAATGCTTCCTCTTTTGCTCCCACTCTCATTGTCCTGCCCTGTCCTCGGCCTGTTTTCCCTCCCCTCTTCCCTCCCTGTTTAGGTGAGGGAGATGGCAAGCAAGCACCACCCCGACCTGGTGCGGCTGCTGGGCTATTGCATCGACTTCAACCCATCCACGCGCCACATAGAGCAGATCCTCGTCTACGAGTACATGCATAACCACGACCTTGACACCTGGATCGGCCCAGGCGCCTCCCAGCCTCTTTCTCTGCGGCAACGCCTGGATGTGCTGATTGGAGTGGCAAAGGGGCTGCAGTATCTGCATGACTTTGGCATCGTGCATCGCGACATCAAGCCAGCCAACATTCTCCTGGATGCAAGAATGCAGGCAGGTTCCTGCTCATCTTATCATGTAGCATAGGAAACTGGGCAACGTGTTGCATGAAGTTGAAGATTCGCCCCATTCATGCATTTCACAGAGCCAGTATATCACCATAGCCCGCCAACATTCTTCTTGACGCTCAAATCAATGTGAGCCAGATTTTGTGATGAGAGGTGCATGAGAGGTGCATGAGAGGGGCTGCAGTATCTGCATGACTTTAGCTTCGTGCATCGCGACATTTGAGTCGACTCAAAAGTCACCCTAGCCCGCCAACATTCTTCTTGACGCTAAGGTCAATGAGAGCCAGAGTTTGTGATGAGAGGTGCATGAAACGGGCCAACATCCTCTGCAATATCCGCATGAATTTGGCATTGTGCATTGCGGCATCAAACGGGCCAACATTCTCTTAAACCCGTTTATGTATGTCAAAGAGTCTTTGTACCTACACAGCCCAAAGTTTGTCTAATCAGTATTTTCTGATTGTGCAGTCTTTGTGCTTGTGCATTTCTGATTTGCGGATTCCGATTTGCTCATGCAGGCCAAAATAGCGGACTTTGGGCTGGTGAAGCTGAGTGGAGGCACCTCCATGGGCACCTCAGTGGCTGCGACTCGAGTGATGGGCACACCGGGCTATGTGGACCCCGCTTACTACACGACACACAAGGCCACACCAGCAGCAGACGTGCACAGGTAGGATTTGAACATGGTGTAAGGGTGAAAGGACTAATGCTGCTTGCCAGCCATTGCATGTGGCATTTCATGCGGCTCGTTTTCTTTGGCTCTTTTATGTCAGTGCTACTCATGCTTTCTACCAATCCACGTGGTATTTTTCTGTTGCTCATGCTCTTCTGTGGGCAGCTTTGGGGTGGTGATGTTGGTGGTCATAACGGCACGTAAGGCCGTTCACATGGCAGGCGACCTTACGCAATGGGTGAGGCTTAAACCAGAGCATACAGGCATGCTAACCCATCAAATGCAGTGCATGAGCTTACCTTACTGTACCACGCCTCATTCTTGCCGATTTCTCCAGCCTCCTTCAAGCATAGCATGAGCTTACCTTACTATAGCGTGCCTCGTTCTTACCAGGCCTCCATTCTTCCAGTCATGCAGGTGGTTCCACTGGTGGCATCTGGTGCCACCAGATGGCCAAGCAATCTATACGGAGCCACATAATCACATTGCCGTGCTCTATGTCCCCCAACAGGTGGATCCTCTGGGTTGACTTTTGAGTCAACTCGAAGCTCAACTGTGCTCTATATCCCCAAGCAGGTGGATCCTCCAGGTTGACTTTTGAGTCAACTCAAAGGTCAACTGTGCTCTATGTCCCCAAGCAGATGGCTCCAATGGTGGTATCGAGTGCCGTGGCATCTTTCAAGGACCTTCATCGGGATGCTCACCCTTACTAGCTGGATCCTTACATGACCTCCATTCTTCGAACCCTGCATGCAGGTGGCTCCATTGGTGGCATCTGGAGATGTAGCATCCTTCAAGGACCCTCACTTGGACGCTCCATATGACTTGCTGCTGCGCCTGGCTCGCCTCGCCCTCACCTGCATGGCCATGCCCACGGCCTCCCGCCCCACCATGGGTCGCGTGTTGGGGGATCTTCTGGGCATGAAGGAGGAGGTGCTTGGGGAGGCTGAGGCGCACAGAGCAGCATGCCGCATTGACAGGGAGATTGGCAGCTCAGCGGCTCACACGGTGGACTTTGATGCCCAGCTGGCTCGTGTGGAGCAGATGGGAACTCAGGGCCGTTCAGCTAGTGATGCATGATGTGTTGTAGGTGTGAGCGCTGCACCTTTTGATGAAGTTTGTTTAATTTGAGATGCGAGTCAATTTTTCTATGGTCGTTGCCTCCCTCCATTCTATGTTTTGTTACCTTGGTGAGTGTTTGTTTCCTTTCAGAGATGTTAGAAGTGTGAGGTGTTTTGTTTCAGAGACTCTGCAAAAAAAAAAAAAAAAAGAGCTTCCTTGTCCTATAAAGCCAGCACGCTCTGATGTAACCTAAACTACCAGGAACGAGGGGTAGCGAAAACGGAAATAGACATAAACACCCATTTTCACACACACACGCGCACACACACACACACACACACACACTCACACAGGGTTGCCATTGTTGGGGAACGTAGTGGGAGCTAGGACGGTTGGGATCAAAGGCAAAGAATGAAAGGCATAGCTGTTTTATCAACTTCAATCAAAGCCCAGCCCCTGAATTACGAAGAGGCTTTCACCATGACACCAGTTTGTGTCTCGCTCTTACTGGTTTCGGGAAAGAAAGGTTTAGGGGAGGTTTTTGAACCTCAGATCTCTGCTTTCCCAAACCTGTTTTCCCGCGTTGACTTCCGTTGAGTAATTCGGGTGTTGTCCTTTAAGAGAGAAAGCCTGTTACCTTCACAACAAACTCCTCTTATAATCAAATCACAATCTTCAAAAACTTTGAAGTGAACACTATTTGTTATTTGGTGTAGGTAGTTGGTGATTTATGAGTGTTATATTTTCAGTGAAAAACAACTTGGTGCATTGCATCCTCTTGGTGCAAATTAACCTCACTAACCTGGATCGTACCATAATTTCTTATGACTGCCTTATATTGATCTTGATGTATACAGACATTAATGGTTACGTATGACATAATAATAAGGAACTGTGATCTTACTCATTAGCGCATGCATCACTGTGAGTGTGTGATGTTTGTGACTGTAGCGAGTGCAGCTCCGAGAATTCTCAGGAGTGATTCCTCTCAGGTGAGCTCCCTCTCAGGTGAGCTCCCTTCTCCCTGGGCTTCTCCAAAATTGTTTCAGTGCTCAACCGTGATTGATCCCCGTGAGTGTGTGATCTTTGTGATCATACCAAGTGTAATGTTTCGAAGCCGCTCCTCCCCAGCCTCTCCTTCCTGGTTTCTCCAAGCTCATTTCTCTGCGCTCAATCGCCGATGACGACACTGTTTGGATTAACATGCAATAATATTATTGAGACGATGCTCAAGGGAGGACGTGCATGAGAGCTACTGAGACTATGCTAATGAGGGGGCAGTGGCAATTGCTGTGTGGTGGGGGTTGGTTACAGTGGGGTTTATTTCTGCCCCGATCTGTTCCCAGCTAGGTCAAAGCCTCAGTCTCTCCATCCATCAACCTATCCACTGCCCCACCATCTCATCCCATCCCATCCCATCCCATCACATCCCATCCCATCCCATCCCATCCCATCCCATCCCATCCCATCCCATTTATTCTCCCCTCATCCAATCTCCCTACCTCCCATCGCTTCGGCAAATCAGGCCCGTCCATCGCCAGTGAGTCCACAACCTCAGCTCTCTCCATCCACCCATCCACTGCCTGCCCCACGATTCAGTCTTCCATTTCCCTCTTCCCCATCCGCTTCTACCTCTCTCCCCCCATCCCTTTTGCTCTCCCTCCCATCATTTTGGCCAATCAGGCCCGTCTACTGCCAGTGAGCTCACAGCCGCAGGACTCTCAGTCCCTCTCATTCACTGCACCACAATGGAGCAAGCCATGCATGCTGCTGCCGAGACAGGCCTCCCTGGTGAGTCTGTGTTTATGGCTTTGCGTCCCCTGCCATTCGTGAGATGACCCAAACTACCCACTGCCTCGGATCTTTCCACTCGCTCTCACTCACCACACCACGATGCAGCAAGCCATGCGTGCTGCTGCAGAGATCGCTCTGGGCTAAGTAGGCTTAGAAGAACTTACAGGAGCTTACAAGAACTCATTGTGACTTTTGAGTCGACTCAAAAGCTCACAGGGCTCAGTCTGGGTTATCTCTGCTCACAACTCAAGCTTTCAACACCACAATGTACACATGGGTATTCCATTTATTGCACCACAATAAGCCAAGCATCCTACTGCACACACTGCTACCCCTGCTGCTCAGAGCCAAGTTCCGAGGCCCAGTTGATATCTCCATCCCCATTGGTAGTCAATCCGTATCAATGTAGTAGGCTATGCATGTTAACAGGAATGGAGTGTTGGCCCCGCCCTCGCTTGGGCAACCCCGACGACTTGGTCGGATGTCCGGGAGTAGCAGTCGACCGTACACAGTGGGAGAGCTGCTCGACAGGCCTCGTCAAGCTGCAGGGGACCGTTGTGGTGTTGCTGTCGACCAGGAAGCTCGACAGCTGCAACTGACTGGTTTGGGCAACGGGTGGGCCGTCGACCAGGAGGGGCAGTTCGACCGGGAGGTCGACGGAGCAGTCCGTCGACCTGACAAGTGAGCAGCGGTCACTGAGGGAGCTCGGGGACAGCCGCTAACGGTTATGGTCGGCAGAAAGGGTCCGTCGACCAAGGTGTAGCTCGACAGAAGTTGTGGTCGACCAGAGGCACCTCGTGGTCGACCAAAGGGACCCGGTGGTCGACCGGAGGCACCTGGGGGTTGACCAAAGCACTTGGTGGTCGACCAGGTCGGCCGGGTAACCTGCTCGACGAGTTCTGCGGAGACACTCGAACGTCGTCAAGGTCGCGATGGCGAAGGCGACTTCGGGCTGGTATCCCGAAGTCGATGTGGTTCATCAGGCGCAGACAACAGCCGACGGATGCACAGTAATGCAATTCGGGCCAATTGTCTGCGCGCACCTGTGGGCGCGCGCATTGCTATCTTCCACGGGGCAACGCTGGACAGTCGCTCTGCTACAGCGTTGGCACGCCGTCGACCTGCCATGTTGGCAGGTCACCTTTCTGCAGTGCTGGCGCGGCTCCTCTATACAACGCTGGCAGGCGGTCGACCATGCTGTGCTGTTGCTCGACCAAGCTAGTTGCATGGTTGCTAGGTGCCTGATGTGGTCATTGTTGTCATTGCTTGTTTAACTCAATTTTTCTGTGATTTCGACTTTGCTAGTGGAAACTCTTGCTGCTTTTTCCCGTGATTGTGCAAGCACCAAGGAACTAGGCAAAGCTACTATCACTCCTAGTAGTTTGTGCCAACCCCCGTAGTCTAACTCACTACCGTTGTAGAGTGACTCTCCGCATGGTGCGGTGAGCGTGGACGGCCCCGCAGATTACCTTCAAATAGGAGCCGACTTTAGCACCTACTAAGTCGTTCATAGGACGGCAGCAGCGTTAGTCACCATGGTCGACCCCGTAGCTATTGCGGACGTAGCGGACATGTTGGAGGCACGTTTGGCTGATGCAAGGAAACGCCATAAGGATGGCGAGCACGGGACGATCCCTTGGGCGATCGTCGAGTTGGGCATTCGGTCGCAGTGGGCGACGGAACACCCTTCCCGTCCTGCTTCTCCTCGACCGGTGCGCAACGAAGGTGGCGTCGACGACGAGGTCGACGGCGGTGCACGAGTCAGCGGCAGCGAAGGCACGAAGCAGAGAGGGGTGATCAAGGTCGACGGTGGCGTCGACGAGATTCAGGCGCGAGTACAGCGGACGACGGCGGCTGCAGGCAGCTCGCGTGCCGACGTCGATGGTCGACGTCGCTCTCCTCTACGAAGCGGTAGAGGGTTCTTGGCGACGACACATGTGACGGCGGGTAGGATTGCACCGGCGCATGGCTACTTCAAGTTCTCGCCGGACCAGATCACCGTCGCACCGCTGCAAGGTCGACGGGACCTCATCACCTGGAGGGAGTCAAAAGAACATCAGCTGGAGGTCGCCGGGCTGAAGGGCTTCCCCGACGGCACAGTGCCAATTCTGCCCGTGGACGATGTCGAGCTGTGCAGGGAGTTTCGTGCGGCTCACTTGCTCACCTTCATGGTCATCTCGAGTTGCTGCTCGCCGGTGGTGCAGCTGGCGCTCAGAAGCTGTCGAGAGCGACTGGATGCTGGTCACCAGGCATGGCACTTCATCCTGTTGACGTACCAGGTCAGGGACGACCTGTACATCGGACAGCTGGAAGAGAAGATGACACACATTCGGATGGGCGAGCAGGAGTCGGCGACGGACTACTGCAACCGTGCTCGACAAATTCTGGCTGAGATGCGGATGGTGGGCGCCGAATACTCGACGGCCTCCTACATCACCCACATCGTCAAGGGCCTGCCGCGCGGCTACAACCTCATGAAGAGGATGATGATGATGCCCGGCATGCGTGAGTCCCTCGACGTGGACTCCATCACCAGCTACATCCTTCAAGACGAAGCGATGCAGGAGGCCGAACAGCCCACGGAGCTCCTTCCGCATGCAAACTATGCTGCACCGACGAAGCTGAATCAGCAGCAAGGGCAGCGCGGGAAGTCGGGCGGAGGTGGTAGCGGAGGTGGGTGGTCGACGATGGACGTCGACGAGAAGAGGTCGACGCGGGACAAGGGTCGAGGAGGTGGTGGTCGACGGCGAGAGTGCTGGATCTGCCACGACTCCGGCCACCTTTCCTACAACTCCCCCGACCGCGACGACAACGATGAGGACGACAACAAGTCAGGCCATGGCCGGTCGACCAGTCGTCGCCCCCGTCGAGATGCAAAGCCGCGCAAGGAGAAGTAGACGTCGAAGAAGACGTCGTCGACGAAGAACGTCGACAGCTCCAGCGGCAAGGGCCGAGGCGACGGGGAGGCGTCATGCTCGATGATCGGCGTGGTGGAGCCTATAGTCTCGCTGGCACCGGAGGCTGGTGAGGACTTCCAGGCGGTGGCGGCATCTGTGCAGGCCAACCCGATGGCGGTGCTGCTCGACAGCGGGTGCTCCAACCACCTAATGGGGACGAAGGCGGTCTTCGTCGACGTGCGTGGATTCAACGGGGCGCTGCAGCCTATCGAGGGTCGCGGAACCGTCGCTCTACAAGGGGAGGCCAGGAAGCAGGTCCTCATCCCC